GTATAAAATATACATATTTATAACGTGTGGTGAGAGTTCTATGTAAAGATTCTAAAAAGACAGAACCTCTTTGAACAACCACATTAAATTACAGCAAAACTCCTGAGTGTACTAAGATTCTAATAATCAACAAATAAAGGCTTTTACTAAGCACAGCACATAATGAGAGCTACTGTGCAAGAGATAAAGGAGACAAATCTGCTAGTTTACTTCACTGGATTATATCATTTACTTAAACCATAAAAAGTTTGTCGAAAGTAATGCTTGTAAAAGCTGCCACATAACTATTAAGCAGCAATTATGATCAATGCATTTTTAAAACAAATATGTCAGAATTCAGGTGGGATGAAACTGACACAGAATACAAGGTTTAAACAGATGCTTTTTACTAAGCCATGTTAAAGGATATTCCTCTAAATTAAGTACAAATTCCTGGCTAGATTAGGAAGTGACATACATTTCCAAAATGACAGATATACTCTATTTGTTTTATGTTTTATGGGGAACTTTTTGTATTTCCAGACATGCACATTTTTTTCCTAACACATACTAATAGTGGACATTAAATCAAATTAAAACATTAAATCAAAAGACACATGCAAACCTGCAGACTGAAAGGCAGGACTCTTTCACTTAATAATATTCAGCGAAAAGACTTCAAATTCTGGTGACAGCATCCATTGTGAAAAAACGAAGAGAGACACTGCCAGAAACTTATATCTTTGAGGAAAAAAATATACATTTTATTTTTGTATAAATTCCAATGTTTTACTTGGACTTGTTTTAATGTAATTGCTTTGCTGTTGGTCATTTCTGTTTGCTTGAAATTGACAAGATCTGTAGTCACCCACAAATCCCAGTGACATACATATATGTGTAACATACGACTCAAGCCACCTCAAAGTCCAATTTCTAGGTCTTTGGCTCTGAAAAAAAGGTAGTAATCAGCCCTTCCTTATTTACAATATTTTTTCCCTTTTTCCTACCTATGGCATATCTGATAAAATCATGAAGCTCCCTCTAGCTCTGCAGAGCAGCTTAACTGACCAGTGATCCTTCACAGTTCCTTCCCATTTTCAAAGGCAATACTGAGAATTAGAGCAGTATTCCCCTTACATAATAAGTGTTATTTTAATTCAGCAGTGTTTTCAATTCTACAACTTGAAAGGACATGGATAATACGTGAGAACATCTGCTGTGAAATAAAGAAAGTTTAATGCTGCTTTTTATTGTGCAGCATACTAAAGACTCTCTTAATCATTTACAACTCACACTTTATTTACCGAATTCTAGTTTGAAATCTTACATTGTTTGACAACCTAGCCATGTATGTATTGAAATACACACAGACACACACACAAAAACTAACACACTTCCATTCCACTTTCCAATTACAATGTGTAAAATAATGTAAAAAAAGAATGATAGGCAATACCATAGCCCCATTTTAGAATGCAGATTTTACAGTGTCTTAGTTCAAAACCAATCTGTTTGTATACACTGGTTTTCCAGAAAACCAGTAATGCCAGTGGTAATTTGCTGACTGTATTTTCACCTACCGTAATATTTACACATACCATTTGTAATGGCTTTTATTGTTTAATCTCCACTGCATTTCAGCATTGGATACTATGGAATTACAGTTATTTAGCAGGCTATAAATAATGTAGTTGGCATGTGCAATTGATATTTAAAATGTCTTACAACGACTGTAAAAGTCTCATTACAGACTAGCAAATCATTTCTAACAAGCAAGTTCAACTGATAAATACCAAAGCAAACCTGCAGTCTATGCGGCAAGCATGTTTGTTTTATTTAAATGATACACGTTTAATGCAGCGTGCAATGGACCATCCATACAGACTATAAATAAAAAAGAAAGCAAATTTCCAAAGTAGTACAGCTATAGCGAACTTTTCTAAAATAAAACAAAAAAAGGGAATTCTGAGTAACAACAGAAAGAATAGCTTACTTTCCCCTCCCCCCTGTATGAGCTAGTGTCCAATTTCTTCTTTTCTGAACAGCTGTATTATCCAACTTAAGTTGCTCTGCTAATTTCAGTCCCACAAGGACTAACTTGGAAGGCAAAAAAGTACTAGAAAAGATCAATTTGCTGGGAAAGATCAAATGAGAAAACTGTGGGGACAGCACCAGGTCAGAGTGTGAAGAACTAAGCAGACCTGTTCTTCATTAACTTAAGCTCTCTTGGGACGTCACACACTACCTGTCCATGGGCTTATTGAACTGCCTAACCCTCGTCTCTGTACCATTCTTCAGGGCCCAAGTGAATCATACACTGCTGCTGACAAGTTAGCAGGGGACTGCGGCTGCTACATGAAAGTACTTTTCTTTCCTGTCTAAATCAGGCAGATTTTTGAAAAGACGACACAGCACTGACTCGTGACATGGCAAGATGAAATGAGAGGTCTGGGCTGGTCTTCGAGCTGTGCAGATAAAAGTAATCAAATGACACTCCTGGAATGCAAATTGGCATTCTTGACTGCAGCAATTGCACAACCATGAAACATCTCTGACAGCAAGCAAGATTAGGACAAAATGTTATGTAAAGCACTGAACTCAAAAACTCACTAGAAAATTCAAACTGTAACACTTATATTTTAATATAGCAATAGTCATCTCTGCTTTTGACTGTTCCTTTACTTAATGTAATCACATACTCATCTTTCACAAATATCTCAATAATAAAAGTGCAGTGATTAAAGATATAGATCTCAGGTTTTTTTCTCTTAAAATGTCAGTGTTGTATTTCTACAAAATAATGTACCAAGGCAGGGTTTTTTCTATTATGTGTGTAACGTGTGCTTAAGGAACACTTTCAAAACCCCAGGTCTTAAAAGGAGTTTCAAAATTTGATCGTAACAAATTAGTTTATAATTTACATAGTTTTTCCTGCATCTGGATCACGTAAAGATGGATCATTTGAAATATTTAGTGAGTAAATTTTGAAATTCATGTCCTTTAGGAATTTAAAGCAGAACATACATAGAGCTATATGGTTCATTAATACTAGACAGCAAATTTCAGATTAAAAATTCCTGCAATTTTTAAGGGCAAGGAAAGTTCCACATACTTTTACAGGAACTTGGTATTCCTGTGCAGATCTGCTGATCAGGCTTATTAAATATTACTGTCTGAAATGAACTCAGTGATTAAACTGTGAACATTTGTACTCTGAAACTATGACAAAAACATTACTCTGTTTTAAAATTCCTCTACGGAGGTGGGTTATAATACAGAGAGGAAACGGATGATACCAAGAAATAAGAGCCCACTTCCACTAAAAAATATTTCAACGAGTGTTATGCATGGCTAACATACAGGTTAAGAAAAGAAACATGTAATATCCTGCTTTGATTTCTTACATAAAAATAGCTTCAAACCATTTTAACTGTCGGCCAGACACACACAAAAAACGACACTCGTTGCCACTTTAATGCTGGGTACATCGGATTATTACATGATGTCTTTTGTGCATCAGTTCTACAACAGCTTGACTCTAGGGTAAATGGGAACCATCATAAATCGCATGCTGCTTTCAAAACCACTTTAATTTCTGTCAGTGTTACTGTAACCACAGTCCTGGGCACACGCTGCTTTCTCACCTCTTTTTTTCATTTTTTCTTTTTTCTTTCTTTTTTTTTTCTTTTTTTTTTTTTTCTTTTAATTGTTGCCTACATTTGACAGTGCATCTCCTACACTCCAATTGTGGCTTTGATCACTGCAACAAGACATGTCATGTTAGTGAGAGAAGGGAAAAATACAAACCCTCCATCTCAAGCTCTTCCCTTCATTCATACAGACATACACTGTATCTATACTTTGAGTGCTGTATATACATGCATACATGTATGTACATACATACACACACATATATGTATAGACGTATATATAAACACATGTGTGTGTGCATGCACGTATATATATTCAAGGCACACAAGACACACATAACATCTCTAGAGTGTGGTGACAAAAGCTGACTGGAAGCAAGGCAGTAGTCATTGACTGAAAATATACTACTTCATTGAATTTGAGCTGATCACTGTTGGTCACTAACTGAGGTCAGTCCACTTGTTAATACTAACAGTTATCATGATGCATGTTATGTTAGTCATGACTCTAAACGTGCTTGTTCTTTGCAGCTCTTTAACCTATCCTCACATCACAACCCAGACAAACGGACCTCAGTCAAATGAGGTCCTCAGTCATTTCGATTTTTTATTTTTTAAATTAAGAGGCCATGAAAGCCCAAACACTGCTTTGCAAAACCCCTGCTGTAAAGGGGACGTACGTTTGCAAAGCACATGAAGTAAGCTCAGTTGTTTTTCTGGGGCTCCCCCCTCCTTTTTACAGTTAGGGCATCTGCATAACTCTGCAAATTCTGTTAACAATCTCTGATTGGAGAGGTGCAAACTGCAAGCACATGCACAACAAGAAGAAGAGTTACAGAGGGAAGGTGGATTTACACTTCTGCCTCCCTGCCTCAGGCGTTGTTTCACACGCAAACACAGAGCTCCTTCCCCAGCTCTCAAATGTTACCTTGACATTGTGTGCAAACGTTACTAATATCCGAGCAGAAGGTGGTGTCCAAAAAAGATCAGACCACCGCATGTCCGATTGAACCCCACTCCACCTTCTCTCTCCCTCCCTCCATATGCACACACTTTTCTTACATTATTAGCCCCTCATCTTTAGTGGAGTGAAGGAGGCGGTAAAAAGCACGTGGCCATCCCATTTCAACCCCCCAAACTCACTTAAAGTTTAGCACAGCCTCTTAGTCATTTTTTCCCCCAATCCAAGCAGCACAGGGCTGATTTATTTATTATCCCACTCTTTCGCCTTGTTCGGCTGCTTGTTTATTTTGAAGGCTGAAACACACCGGATAGCGAGCAGGGCTGCTTGTGTTACTGCACAATTTATTAATCAAATCAAACCAAAGTAAAGGCTAAAATGAAAACGAAAGGCTGCTGGAAACTTCTTACCATCTCTGCATGCTGGTTGTCAAGTGCACCCCCTGTCTCTCGATCTCCTCTCAGCGGCTGTGCCTGCACCCTTCCTTTTGCCTCTGGACTCTCAGCGCCTCTCCTTCTCTTTCCCCCTCTCCCCCCGTGTCTTCTCCCCCCAC